CGTCTAAAAAACAAACGTGTTTGTTTTCAGTTTCAGGCGATCGAGTCGGGCGATCGGCCCAATCCAGCCGTAGTGGGCACCCTGTATTAGGCTCAACCACCCCTTAGCTCTATCATTCACCAATTGCCATTTGTAGTCTACAGATTCCTTGTCCTTGTAACTTTTTTTTGCATTTGATTTGAAATTGATTACTGACATTTCTGTATTGCTTCAATTCCCTTTATCTTATTGGTAAATAAAAGCTACTGCCCTACAGCACACTCATTAAGACAATTTTAAAACGTTGAGCGTGATCATTCACTAGGATACTCGGCTAAGAGGAAATCTGTGAGAGGACAAAAATAATAATATTCGGTTCCTACTTGTATTGTTACCACTTGGCCTGTCCATCTGGGTCAAGGCCAGGTTCATTTCCAGTCGACTCATTGCGACTGCACGTTGTCGGAGTTGAACCCATATGTATCTATAAGACATTATTTTAATTTTCCTCCTGTTTTCTCCACTAGGGGAGATACGAACTGGGGTTCGATTTGACATTTGATGGAACCTACTACTACGCCAGCTACAACAACTTTTTGCTGAGTGGGGAGCCGGAAAACTACAAAATTCAGATTTCCGGATTTTCGGGTAATGCAAGTGACGACATGACCATTAACAATGGCCAGGTGTTCTCAACCAAGGACCGTGACAACGATGCAACTGTTCGTTTCAGCTGCGCCAATAATCAAAAGGGAGCTTGGTGGTACAGGAGGTGCAGTTTAGTGAACCTCAACGGATTGTGGGGTAGCACAGAATCCAGGAAGGGCATGAGATGGGTCAGTGTAACCGGATATCGCAACTCCGTCACCTTCAGCGAAATGAAGATTCGAATTTACATTGAGTGACAGCTTTATGACTCCGAATAGTGTACTCGAGTAGCTGGTTATGTGTTGAATAATGTTTGTGTCACTATGAGTGTGTTTTTGTTTGAGGCATAATGAGACCAGCTTCCAAATTTTAGAGTTGTGAATCGTTTCATGCACAGGCACTTACACAAGCATTCTACACAAACACACACACACACACACACACACACACACACACACACACACACACACACACTCACACACACACACACACACACTCACACACACACACACACACACACACACACACACACACACATACGCACGCACGCACTCACTCACGCACTCACTCTCGCACTCACTCTCGCACTCACGCACTCACGCACGCACGCACGCACTCGCGCCCACACACTCACACACACGTTATTTATGTGTATTTATGCTTTGCATTGATTGATGGACTATGGGAAGACTGCAGCAACGTTTCTAGACAAATGGCGTGTCACCGTCAACCAAGGATGGGGCAACCAAGAGTCAAAACCGCACAATTTCACCACATTTTTGTATTCGTCACATTGGAGATAGATTGTTTTCCTGCCACTGCAACAGTCAGATATCTTCAGGCAATTAGAGGAACAGTAAGTGTACAGCCACCATTCGGCTCCGATTGACTTCGTGGCGCAACTTATGGTCAAATATTGCCTCAACTATCGAACGTAGACGCTCTAGCTTTTTTTTTTGTTTTTTGGATGTGGTAGGTGTTTTACAGCGTTCACAGCTACATAAGGTCACAGGAGCGTGCGGGACACATCAAACATTTTTCAGTTTGGCAAGAATTTTGAATTTTCCTTCGGTTGCAGCCGAAGCTACTCTTATCTATGTTAGGACCACCAAGAAATCTTTAACGTGCATTACTCGCACACGGTACCACCGAGATATTTCGTCCTTTTCCGAGGAGGCTAAGTGTTAGATCTTACCTGCCACAAGATTAGGGGTGTTGCTGAGAGACAGTAGTAAGAAGGAGCCAAGGAGTAACAGTAAAAAGGATGCACAAAGAGTCAGGAGCTCAGAGGAAGGGGCAAAGGAGAAGGGATCGGAGAAAGGAAAAAAGTGGAGACGAAAACAGAGACAACAGAACATCGTTAGAGAGCAGGAAAGGAGGTGAAAGGACCTCTATGTAAACGTCTGTACATATTTACCATAGCCGTGTTTTTCATTCCAATCCTATTTCATTAAGTGAGGCGTATGGAGCTGAATATACTTATAGATCTATACAGGGACACATGCACTTTCACAGCAGGGGCGGCTCATGGGGCTAAAAAGTGGGCGAGCACAAACGCTATTGCAGGTTAAATAAGGTCATCATCATCAGTATCATTGCCTTTCTCAACCTGGGTCAGTATATAGGCCACAAACAAACATTTCCACTTTTCCCTATCCTGGGCTAGCCTCTTGGTGTTATTACATGTCTTCCCACTTTTCTGTACATCGATTTCTGTGACTCTTCTCCAGGTTCCACGTTGTCTTCCCCTTGATATTTTACCTCGTGGGTCCAAACCCAACACTTTCCTTGCTATGCAGGTGCCCGATTTCCTGAGAGTATGTCAAATCCATCGCCACTGCCTTCTTTCCAGCTGATCTCTGACTGGGCCCTGTCTTATTCTCCTTAACACTTTCACGTTGGTGACCCAAGATTGCCAAGGACATAGTAAATGCGATCTGTATGATTCTCATATTAAGTCTTCGTCGATTTCCTGAAAGGGCCTAGAGAAGAATCTTTTCATGTCATTAACTTGAGTGTGCGTGTATTGTGTGTAATGTATATACTAGCTGGGCCCCCTTTCGATGAAAGGAATGATCGGTACATTAACATCAACTGAAAGTCATTGGCCTACTATTATCTACACTCTACTGGAATGGAACAATAAATCTTGAGTGATGCAAAAATTAGAAGGTCTAGATCTATACTCTTAAAACAAAATGCGCCTCGCGAAATATCACTTCCGGCACTTGTGCTGTGAAGGGCAGCAACGCAGATTTGTTTCGTTTCTCAGTGGAATAATCACAAAGGCCAAAGAAGGACAGGAACCTTTTGTCAAATATATTTGTCTAAATTCAGGAAATGAATAAGTAAAAAAATCGGGTGCTGTCATTGGGACGTATCTATCTTTTTTCAGGTACGTGCCAACTGTCAATTCTGTAGCTGTCGTATTTTTATGGGGAAAGGGATAAATATCAATTTGAATATTATTGAATATCAAATATCTGTGTAAATAAAAAAAATGGTGAAATGGTGTAGGTTTAACGCCCCTATCAACACTATTAGGTTATTTAAGGGGCGGGACCTTCTAGTTTAACGTCCGTCTCCGATAGGACCGAGCCAAGTGGGAAGTTCGTGTAAAGTGCCTTTCCCAAGGACACAACGTCGGACCGAGCTGAGGCTCGAACCCCCGAACTCGCAATCTAACGATTACGAGTCCGGTAGCCTAACCACTATGCTACCGACGTCACTTATCTGTGTATGTAAGTGCTTTCATGTTTTCATAACTCATAACGTGTGGGGAACTTTTGGGGCCATATGTTTGTTCATACTGTAAGTTTGTTTCTTTACGATACACATTTTACTAAAGGCTTTCTTCCTCCGAGGTCGTGTATTCATGTATATACATTTTATAATTGCATTTGCTTTTATTTATGCCTTACTGTGCTGAGTATATTTGTGTAGTCACTATAAAATTGGGCTTTGAAATGTGTATTTCTTTATTGGTTCATGTTCCGTTTTCATCATCATCATCATTGTCATCGTCATCGTCATCCTCCTCCTCCTCCTCCATCTTCTTCTTCTTCTTCTTCTTCTTCTTCTTCTTCTTCTTCTTCTTCTTCTTCTTCTTCTTCTTCTTCTTCTTCTTCTTCTTCTTCTTCTTCTTCTTCTTCTTCTTCTTCTTCTTCTTCTTCTTCTTCTTCTTCTTCTTCTACTACTACTACTTCTTCTTCTTCCTTCTCTTCACCCCTCCTCCTCCTCCTCCTCCTCCTCCTCCTCCTCCTTCTCCTCCTCCTCCTCCTCTATTGTAAATGTTCGTTCATATTGTACTCTCACTTAGACTCAATTTACATCGAATAGGAATTGGGCGGCAGCGACTATGTCTTTCAAGTTCAGCCCAGGCTGAATGGGATACAGCATCCAACCAGGCGAACGAAGACACTATACACGTATTATCATAAAATGTTTGCGCTACTGTGAAATCTAATTCCCTTTTTGTGCCCGAAATGGCGAAGAGCCCAATGCATGTGGGCATTATTAAGACTCTGCTCAGGGTGCTGTTCCCGGAGGATATTAAGTCTTTTGAACGACTCCCTTCTGTCTGTCTGTCTGTCTGTCTGTCTGTCTGTCTGTCTGTCTGTCTGTCTGTCTGTCTGTCTGTCTGTCTCTCCCTCCCTCCCTCTCTCTCTCTCTCTCTCTCTCTCTCTCTCTCTCTCTCTCTCTCTCTCTCTCTCTCTCTCTCTCTCTTTCTCTTTCTCTGGTCACAAATCCCCACTGGTCTGGTGTTACCACATACGTTTAAAGAGAATAATAATATGTTTGTGAGTGTCATCGTAATCTCTCCTACCCCGGCCCGAAAGTCACATTTTTTTCTTTACATTTCATTTACTACATGCAAGCCTTCTGTCCGACTCAGTTTCAAAATCATCAATTCAAAGAGGGTCCATTACAACAACAACAACAATTATAACAACAACAACAACAACAACAACAACAACAACAACAACAACAAAAGGGGGAAACAAATTTTTTTCTTCCAAATGAACAACTCAAGAGAGCAGCAATGGTATTTTTCTTGAAAAAGCAAGACAACTCAACAAGCTTTAAGGTGATACAATTATTTAATAAATTCAAAAATTGACGAGCGCTCATTTAACCACATCGTTACACAAATTTAGTAAAAACAGAAACAGTAATTGCGCGCGCGTGCCGTGTGTGTGTGTGTGTGTGTGTGTGTGTGTGTGTGTGTGTGTGTGTGAGTGTGTGTGTTCAATGCATGTAAGTGTACGAAAGTGTGTCCCTGTGTGTCTGCATGCATAAAAGAACATTTCTATTTTGAAATACATGTAAAGCAAATACATGTAGGTTCCAGACTGTCTAAAGTGAGAAAAATATAACTATCTACACGTATTTTCAGTATCATCATCATTGAAAAAAGATGCCCCTTGACTTGAGAGAATGGAACAAACGACAAAACTTCACATTTTAGGATCTTAAATGTGTTTTATTAGTGTGTTTCTCTTTCAATCAAACACAAATACACACACATAGATTAGCCAACATCAGAAGGCATAAGCAAGAGATTGAGCATCCAATGCCATGAGACTTTTATTTAGCAAATGGGCGAATCTTCATTTCACTGAAGGAGACAGAGTTTGAATATCCAGATACACCCTTCCAGATCAAACCTTTCGATGACTCCGTGCTTCCCCATGCTCCGTTGAGGTTCACTTCATGGCAGCTTTTGTACCACCATGCTCCGTGGTACTTCTTTGCGCAGTTGGTTGATGAAATTGAATCGTTGTCACGGTCCTTGGTTGAGAATGCCCGGCCATTGTGATGAGCCATACTGTCTCGTGCATTACCTGAAAATCCAGTTATCTGAATTCTATAGTTGACCGATTCTCCATAAAGCAAAAACTTGTTGTAGTTGGCGTTGTAGTCTTTTCCTTGGTATTTCATGTCAATCCTCAACTCGTATATTCCCTGGTGATGAGAACAATATGCTACTTAAGAATTACAAAGTTCTATCTGACATTTTGGGCCGTTTTGAGTTACTAGGACCATGAGGTCAGAAACCTGTCTGCTCTTTCAAAATCGCTAGAATATTTTGAGTCGTTTTCGTGATATTTAAAGAATTGCATTCGAAAAAAACTTGACATGTTGTGAAAGTCGAACATTTTAACGTCAAAATTCTTAAAAGTAGGTATTGAGCAGATAGAACTTTGTAATTCTAGGATAGCGAGTAGGAGCATCGAAACAACTATCTAATAGATACACGAATCTTCAACACAGACAATCCAAGCCGAAATGTTCAAGTTGAAAATAGCCTGTCCTTGATGTAGACAGAACAGGTTCAATTCAAATCCAAATCTGGTCTGAATGTTTTTGACCCTCCCAAAGATTTTCTTTAAAAACTGGGTGACCTAGTAGGGAACCTTGTGCAAGGCGTTAGAAACTGTCCTAAAATGAGTCTGTTCGTGGGCAATAAATTTACCGCAAAGATTAAAGAAAATAAAGGTAAAACGAATTAGACAAACAGAAGACATTCCGAATCATGCACAGAAAAGGATACAAGCACATGGGCACCGTGCACATGGCTGTCCGGGGCTGATGGAGATGAAATGGCTGCAACGCTGCATGCCCCCCCCCCTTCCCCTTTGCCCCTAAAGATTGAACAGCAACCACAACAGCAACAACAGCAACAACAGCAACAGCAGTAGTAGCAATGATGATGATTGTTGCTGTTCGTCCCTTGAGGCGACGAAGACCTTCTTGTCATTCTGAAATCGGGGGTGAGTGCGCAGATGACTAGTCAGACCGATCTATGCTCGGAAGGTCCTATCGTGGAGCGGACAAGGGAGAGTGGCAGAAGTTGGAGGTCTGTTCTGTGTGGCCAATCTGCGCAGCTCACTTGCACCATTTCGGTCTTCACAAGTCTCTGCGTATTTGCCATTTGCGAACTACAGCTAGCCTCCTGACTCTGTTCTGTGCTGTTTGCTTCCATGTTACGTGGTCGAAGCTGAAGGCCTTTATAAAAGCTTTGATGCTGTTAGTGAAACGCTTCTTCTGGCCTCTATGACAACGTTTCCCTTGTAGTAGTTATCCATACTAATTTCTCAGGCAACCAATAATCCAGCATGCGGATTATGTGAGATGCTCAGATATATTTTTTTTTATAGTAGAGGGTTTTACGGCGCTCGCAACTGCATAAGGTCAAATGAGCGCCTAGGGGTGGGTGTCAACAGAGAAGTCTTTACAGGGAATCAGACGTATTCTGCTCTCCTCTCTAGCTTTAACAGCAAAAGGTCTGCTTCGACTATCAAGGCACCCCAAAAATAGCAGGTCACAAGAGAGTGACAAACATGCAAAAGAAGTACAGGAAAAATGACAATAGTAAGGATTCGGAAAGAAAAAGCAGCAGTTCCCTGTTGTAGATCAGGCACAGTTATGAGCGTGACATGAATCAGCCCATTTACAATTCTACTGTGCTTGAACGAGAAATGTCCCACCTTTGGGAATGGCCTAAAGACACTACAGTCAGTGGCACTACCCCGGGGGGGCTCAGAGAAGTTGAATCTGCATTAAATGGCGACACAAGGCCTGCACAAGCAAGTACATTGTAGGCCTACTTCATTGTCCGAAACCTTGTCTTACTTTTAAATGCCCATAATTCGTATGACACAAATAGTGAGAAAATGGTTGAGTTTTTGGCATGTCGCTGGGAAATCGTCCATGTTTTCCCGCCAGAGCAGAGCATGGTGGTGAGAACTATCGCGCGATACATTTTGAGCTTGGTCGCATGGGTGGTCTCCTGTTCAAAGGGTCCTTGTGAAGTCTGTTGAAGGCGACACTAGCTTTGGCAAGCCAGGCAGTTACTTCGTCGACCATGGCAGTATTTCCGGACATGAAGCTGCCAAGGTAGGGGAATTTGTCCACAGCTTTCTTTGTTGTTGTCCGCTGATTATGATGACTGGCTCAACGTATGGCTCTCTCTCTCTCTCGAGGCTAGCTGGTGAAGCAGGTCATTCTTTTTCCGTACTGATTGTTATAAGTCAAAGTTGTTGCAAGCATCATTGAACTTGCCAATACTGTGTTGTATTTTCACTTCTGAGATCACTTTGAGAGCAAGATTTTCCGCGTAAAGGAGGTCATAGACATTGTTCGTGGAAATCTTGGTTTTTCGCTCGAAGTCTCGTAAGGTGAATTAAAAGACTGATCCATCTGTGCAGTACGGAATGCCGATGTCTGTCTCCGCGACAGTGAGTTTTTCAGTCAGCAGAGCCGCAAACATGATGGTGGTAATATTAATTACAATGACGATAGTACTAATAATGACAATAACACGGACATTAATGATACTAATAATGATACTAATAATAATAAGTGGCGTCGATAGCTTAGTGGTTAGGCTACCGACCCATAATCGTGACATTGCTGGTTTGGAGGTTCGAGTCTCCACTCACTCATAATAATGATAATAACAACAAGAATAGTAACGATAACATAAATATAAACGACAACAACAATAACAACAACAATAACAAAAACAACAACAACAATAACAACAACAACAATAATAATAATAATAATAATAATAATAATAATAATAATATTAATAATAATGATAATGATAATAATGATAATGGTGAAGATGATGACGATGGTGATGATGATGATGATGACAATAATAATAATAATCATCATAATAATGATAATAACAACAACAACAACAACAACAACAACAACAACAACAACAACAGCAACAACAACAACAACAATAAAATAATAATAACAACTACAGAAACGCCTGAAAACATAAACAGCAAGAAAGATTGCCCCAGCTACCATGAACACAACCTAAAACCTCTGCTTCTTCCTACTGCCACTACTACTACTATGTTTATAGAGACATGGTATTAAAAATGTGTTCAATGCAACTTCCAAATACAGTAAGGTTTTAAGGGGCCGGAGCTTCGGCTTAACGCCCATCACCGAAATGACGGAATCAAGTTGATGTAAACGGATACAGTAACTTCTACTTTTTCTGCTACCAATAAAAATATATTTAGTGATACCGGCCAAAATGCGGAGGATAGTAAACCAGACTAATATCACGAGAAATTATAAAAATACAGCAACAGGGATATCAGCTTCAACATTGTCAATTTTACTTCACACGCACAGTGCTGCCACATATCTTTGACAATGCAATATGTCAAAGAAAAAAGAAAACATGCAAGAAAACATCAACAAAAATAAAAACAAAAAAACAAAAACTCATTAACTTGCCTGATTTGTCAGCTGGTGAACTTTCTCCAACCCAAGCCAGAAATTGCCGGAGAGGTCGCCGAATTCGTTCTTATAGTCCGCCCAGACACGGAAAAAGTCCACGGCCGCCGAAGCACGTCTCTGTAGACATAACAGAACATAATGCCAATTTGTGAGGCTTGCTATCATGAAACATATTAAATCACAATATCGACAAAAATAATAATGTCTTCTAATTTTGATTATGAAACCATACGCAATTTCAAAGAGTGTTTTTATAATCAACGAACTTAATGTTTAAAAAATCTTGAAGTCCTTTTCTAAACAACTGCACTTCAGAGAATAATTGTTAAATCTATTCAGTTTCACGTCAATGCAGGGTTTCTTTAAAAAAGAAAAAAAAAAACACAGTAAAAGGGCAATAACTCGGTCATGTCTGCACTAATTCTAACAAAGCTTGGGTCCGGGTAAATCGCTGAATTTTATTTCGTACAAGTGTTCAGCTAGGGGCGTGATCGGTCCATTCTGGATTCAGAAGACCACGACAGTCACATCAGATGGGTATCCCAACGTGCTGAGAAAGTTTAGGAGAAGTTTGGGGAGGATGAGGTATTGTGCTGTAGATAAGGCCTAGTTCCAGAGGGATGGAGTAATAATAATAATAATAATAATAATAATAATAATAATAATAATAATAATAATAATAATAATAGTAATAATAATAAAATAATAATGATAATAATAATAATAGATAGATAGATAGATAGATAGATAGATAGATAGATAGATAGATAGATAGATAGATAGATAGATTGCATTTGTATAGCGCAAATCCCCGCTCAAAAGCAAGGTCTATGCGCTTCACAATCTGAAACAACCTCAACTTCCTGGGAAGCATACAGTGCCAGCAGCCATTTAGAGGCGCTAAAACACTAACATACTGATAAAATCTTTCGCTGTCTATGGCTGGGTACCCATTTCCACCTGGGTGAAGTGAGGAAAATTCGTGTGAAGTGCCTTTCCCAAGGACACAACGTCGGGCCCGCGGCTCGAACCCCCGACCCCGCAACCTCACGATTACGAGTCTGGTTGCCTAACCACTAGGCCACCGACGCCACACACTTATATGCCATAAGTGGCCCCTGCATGGCTTCAGAAAAGTTTTGGGAAACGCCTGAAAAACGGAACGGTTACAATAAATGAATGCTCATCCCATTCCTCCGATTTGAGCCCATTTAATTATTTCCTTTATGTTTTTTGGGGGGGGTTGCTGTTGTTTTGTTTTTTTGCAAGACAGGTAGCGTCTACAGAGAAACAACCCACATATAACCGATATTTGAAAGTCAAAGTTGAACACGAAGTCCAAAGAATCAACCCAGAAACATGCCACGGGGTTATCAAAACCTCCCGAGGAGCGATAAAATTTGTGTGGAGAGAAATGTTAATGGTCAACACCTGGAGCATCAATTTAAATAGCAACCACCTTCCCTGAATTTACTTTCTAGTGTATTAATTTTAAAGATTTTTTCTTCATTTTTCATTGCATAGATTGTGACTTGATCTATTTGAAATAGAACAATATAACTGATTTTTAAGAAGTTGCAAAAGTTTTGAGTTCCCTTCAATTTTGATTTGGCAGTTTTCGAAAACATTTATTGATTTTCGTTATATTGACAAATGTGAAGTATGTGTGGTGGAATTTTATTTGATTGAAGTTTTGTTGAAATTAGTTCAAAGATGACTGAGTCCTTATCATGTAAATGGGTCTTCTTATTTAGATTACACTCCAAATACCGTATGTTGGCCACAGATTTAGAGAACATTATCTACTCTCTGGAAAGTCACAACGAGAACAGCGATTTGGTTTATTTATTTATGGGCTGGGTTTTTTCATCAGTCTGTACTAGAATGATCATGGCTATAATGTTGATCTTACCTGTTTTATATCAATCTACGGTACAGCAAAACAACGTTGATATCGCCAGTGTTGTACACGTCTTTTGTATCAACCTACGGCACAGTAAATTATCGATAATCTCACCTGTATAGCAGCCTGCATTACATCACAATTATAACGTTGGTCTCACCTGTATTGCATAAATAATATAAGCCTGTGTTACAGTATTGTACTATGATGTTCATCTCACATACGTATTGTATCAGACTGTATTGGACTGGCTATGTAAAATTCAGCTTTTAAATGACCCTTTGGATTGACTGAGCAATTAACTAGTTGGTTGATTTAGTTTGAACGGTGAATTTGGCAGATAGCAGAAATGGCGATATGAAGCTGGTTAGCCAACAAAATGACATTACATGTAATTAAATGAGAGGGTATATTAGCTTCAGTGAAATAAGGCCTATTGTCTGCGAAATTTACCAATTCAAAGACAATGATAATGTTGATTTCACCCGTAGTGTATCCGCCTGTACTTTCTTACTTACTACCCGTTACGCCATCTGGCATTTAGGGCAGCAACAAAGGATCTCCAGCTCTGTCTGTTTTGGGCCATCTTGGTCAACATCCCCCACGAATGGTTCCAAGACTTCATTTCAGATTCTACTGTGCGTCTCCAGGTCACTTTGGGTCTGCCCCTCTTGCGATGTCCTTCGGGTGTCCAGTGGAGGGCAGTCTTCACAATAGAGTCTGGTTCTTTTCTCAGAACATGTCCAATCCATCTCCATCTTCTCCTTTTTATTATGGTGGTATCGGCCTGTATTACAGTACAATTATGATATTGATCTCACCTGTATCACGATCCAGCCGTCATTGTCTGTAACGGTGTCGCAGAGGAGAAGTTGACCGTTAAAGAAACTGACCAGCGGGCTTGGACCCATAGCCTTGGCATCAGTACATGATTGGGGCTGAAGAGAAATCCACAGAGAGAAAGAGAGAAAGTTTCGAGGACAGCTGTAAGAAATGGCAAGACGAAGGTGGTTTTACCAACTACATGACCTTACGTGTAATAAAATGGGAGGGTATTAGCTTCAGTGAAATAAGACCCACTGCCTGCAAAATTCACAATTGACCGTTCAAAACTAAATCAACCAGATAGATTGTTACTCAGTTAATCCACAGGGCCATTTAAAAGTGAAATTTTACCAAGTCAATCCAAAAGTCTCAGGTGACCAGCTAGTTTATCATACAGTCTGTCTATAACGAGTTTATCAGTCGACAAGCATCTTTAATTCTAGGATTCCACACCACTTTTGATCATGTTCTAGGCAGGAAATACGAACCTATTGCTGTCTCACGTGAGATTTTTCCTATGTGAAAAATCAGTTAGGAATACTTGAAACTGTAATGGGATTTTATCTAATGCAAGGTTGTAACATTTGTGAGGCAGCATGGTGGAATCAGGCTCTCGTCAATTTTTGGGCATATTGAGTTATTGGTATCACCTTACAGCTTGTTCATTTGTCTTGCTTTCATTGAAAATATTACCCATCTATCTTCAATAGAAGTGGAGATATTTTGGATTGAAGGAGGTGGGGGTCACCTGATTTAAGAGGAAACATTAGCGAAAAAATGGCGGCCAAAGCTTGGTAAATTCCAAAGCTGGAGAGTCCATGGAGACTGTAAACTTACATTTTTGTGCCTTTAATCAACGTTTTCGGTGAAATCCTCAAAGGAGTATGTTTGTAAATGGACGTAAAAGGTGTTGAGCCAAAAAACAACAATTTGATAAAAATTGCTAAGCAGGGAGAAAAGTGCTGTTTTCTTTGATTTCATTATTTTGACGAAAGCCTGATTCCACCACGCTGCCCCACATTTTAAAAGCATCCTTACACGTTATCTTCCATGTGATAGATAGGTGTGAATAGAGAACCCATCCAGACTCAAACAGACAGACAGACAGACAGACAGACAGACAGACAGACAGACAGACAGAT